ACCCAAGCCTAAATCAAGAGAGAAAAGGGGGATTCAAGGCTGTTCTTACCGAAAAATGCCCAGAAATTTCAAACCCACAAGTTGAAGCCGACGGACAGCAGAGGGAGGAAGACGCAGATCTGGGATTTTCTGGGTTCAACAGATGTTCTAAGACAAGAAAATAGGGAGAAATCCCAAAGCTTTGCCTGATTTCCGGTCGGAAAATGGGTGGCGGTGGCTGGGGGGTTCGTTGGCTGCAGAGGGTCGGGGGAGAGGAAGAGCAGGGCATGCAGGTATGATGGGGAGGGAAAGAAAGAAAGAAAAAGAAAAAGAAAAAGGAAAAGCAGTCAATCCTTATCCTAATTTCCTTTCTTTTTAGTCCCTCGACTTTTGAAAATTTTGCGATTAAACCCCAAAACAATATTTTTCCTCGAATAAGTCCCCAATTTAATGCTAAAATACCCCAAATTTTGGATATTACATCTGGGTTCCACCGAACCCAGCAGATCTGCACGGACAACGACGTATTAATGTCCGATTCAGGATCAAGAGCCTGAGGTCCCTACAGACCCAACCGCCAACAGAACGCAGAGACATGGTGGCTGGTAAGGTAAGAATGGCGATGGGGTTGCAGAAGTCGCCGGCAAATTCAGACCAAAATAACTCTCCCAAGCCGCCATTGCCGTCACCGAGCTCGGCCGGGAAGAACAGTTCGCAGAAAACGGTTTTCTCGCGTTCTTTTGGTGTCTACTTTCCGCGGTCTTCGGTTCAGGTGCAGCCTCGCCTGCGGACGTCACGGAGCTACTCCGTCTGGTGGAGGAGTTGCGCGATCGCGAGTCCAAGCTCAAGACCCAGCTTCTCGAGTTCAAGCTGTTGAAAGAATCGGTTGCTATAGTACCTGTACTGGAGAATGAGATTGACGTGAAAAATGCGGAGCTGGAGGGAGTCTTGAAAGAGAATGAGGATTTGAAATGTGAAAAGGAAGCATTGGAAAAAGAGATGGAAGAAATGAAAAGAGAGATTGAGGCCGAGAGAAAGGGAAGGGAACAGAAAATGAGAGAACTAAAGGCGGAGGTAGCAGAGTTGGAAACAAGAAGAAAAGAAAGCGAAAAGAAACAGAGGGAAATGGAAGCGGAAATTGAAGAGACAGAGACGAACAGAAAGGAAAGCGAAATAAAAATAAAGGAAATGGAAGCAGAGATTGCAGAGCTAAAGAAAATAGCATCTGAAAAAGGCAGAGCAGAGATGACACACCAGAGTTTGAGAATTTGTATCAAAACAAGCAAATTAAGTGGCAATGCATCCATTATTGAATTATTCATTTCTTACTTCTCTACCCAAGATTTATTGTCTGAATTATATGTATAAAAAAACCATATGGATTAAAACTCAGAAAATGCTACTTTGCATTTGAGAACTGATGTTTTGATATGTGTTTCATATGTTTGGATCGTTATGGATAATAAGGTATGGCCTTGCTCTTTTGCCATTCCTCTTATGGTCCATAGGGTCGGCGACCGATAACCTTTGCCAGAAAACAAAGTAGAAAATGGTGGGCATCAAATGGAGTGATGCAAGGAAAGCCAGTGAGGGAATGGAAGAGGACAGATGATGTCAAAAAGTTCCAGCGAACCCAGTTGCTGGGTTCGAAGGAACCCAGCAAATGGGTTCCATCGAACCCAGATCTGCTGGGTTTGGTGGAACCCAGACGGGGTTCCGTCGAACCCAGCAAACTGGGTTCAATGACCCGAGGAAGAAGAGAAAGAAAGAAGAGGAAGAAAAAAAAAAAGAAAAAGAGAAAGGAAGAAAATGAACGAAATTATTTTATTTTATTTTTTAAAAATATAAATAGTAATAATGTGAGTTGGCATAAAAAAAAATCCACGGGGCAACACGTTTTCAATTTGTTTTTGCCACATCATCAAAAAAATTATAAAAAAATGCCACGCAAGCGAGTTAACGTTTGAAATTAACAGAAGGACTAACAGAGTGCATTTCTTAAAGTTTAGGGATCAAAAAAGTGCAAAAAATTGTTGAGGGACCAAAAATGTGCAACTCAGTAAAATTGAGGGACCAAATTTAGCATTTAACCTAAAGTGAACTCAGGCACTTTAAAACCCCTTGGAAAAGGATTTTCATGATCAATGACGTTTGGATAAGGCTTCCTGTAGGCTGGACGTACCAATGGTCTCAAGGCTG